AAAGGCAGTTTTGCAAATAAGCATAGTGCTATATGGTTGGTATTTTGATCCAATCTAGTTATGAGGAGAAATTTCTTGACAGTGACAATCAATCAATGGAATGGCTTGCCTCCAGAAGTTGTGGGTGTTATAATCACTGGAGATTATAAAGAAAATATTAGTCATTTGTCTGCAATTGTATAGGATCTCCTGCTTGAGCAAGTGGTTGGACTAGTCACGAGAAGACTTCCAAGGTCCCTTCCAACTCTGTATTTCTGCTTTGGGGCATATTTAGCTCTATAGATTTAAATTTAATAAGTTTTTAACAAGCCAAGTGGATCAGGAAGCATGAGGTGTCTGGGACATACTTCACTTTTTTAATATCTCTTTTTCCATCCCAGGGAGCTGATTAAGGCGAATACAGCCATATTTCTCAAGCTAAACTATCAAGTAAAGTTGACATGAGAGTAAACCAAAGTTGGTGGAATGATTTACAGAATAAGCACTATTTTGGGTTCTTCAGAGAAGTATGAGAGTGCCTGCCAATTCCATGCTTATCATAGTGACAGGGTCCTGTAAGATCCTCTCTCCTCTTGCATTTATGCCTTCTTCCTTTTTGCCTTGTGCAATTCAGAGAGAGGATAGTGGTGGGAAGGAAAAGTGGCTCAGTTTAGGAATCATTGCTGTAAGTGATAAAAGCTGCAGAGAAAATGTGGGATATGTAGAAAAATATGAGCAACATTGATCTGGTTCTTATCATATGGCCTAGTTTTCAGTGTAGCATAAATTCCACATTTTGGAACATTCTGTTGTTAGCTCACGGCTATCAATGGAACAAGGCATGTGATCCTATTTCAAAAAGAAAACAGCTTCTGCTATTGTTCCACTTATAGGAGTTTCCCACTGTTTTGGCAGCATTTGAAAACATATGGAGAAGAGGTGCTGGTTGTTTTTTTTTTTTTTTTTAATTCACAGTGAGCTGCTAACTCGCAGCCACAAGCCACAACTGCTTCTGGCACGAAATTAATGCCTTCCCAGGCCCTCTACTCTATTTTTTTGTAAACATAATTTATCTGCTCTGTTTAGCTGGGTGAGAGAGACTGGGTACAACAAGGGAATCTTTCACATGCTGTCTTTTGCCAGGGGGAGGTCTTACACCAGCCGAACTGGAGAAGTTGGTCACCAAATTGGGTCTGAGCTATAGAAAAAAAAAAAAAACAGTGGCACGAAGAAGAATGACTTGTCACAAATATGACATACTTAAGGATCTTTGCTAGTTCTGTTTTCCCAACAAAGCTCAAAATATCTCAAAAAACATAATGGGAAAGAATGGGTATATTGAAATAAAAAGGAAATGATGGGAGGAAGCTGCTGCATCAGTTGAACAGCTGATAAATATGTTGGTAAATATGCAGCTGGTAAATAAACAGCTGGTAAATTCCAGGAATAAAGGTAGAAATCAGGTTTGAATCAAATCTAGTTCTTTTCCAGTTGTGAAGGGTGAATAAAAGCACAACACAATAAATACAGTTTGTGTACCATAATTGTGACCGCAATATAGCCCTGTGCTATATAGTATTCCTCTTCTTTTCAAAATTATAGATGACAGGCTAACAATTTGCAAGTAGATTTAGTATTTTAACAGTTTGAAATTTTCTTAGTCTGTTCCAATAGGAGTGGCAAACTAATATTGTTTTATACTAGGGAGGTGTACACAGTATATGTTAGTTTTAGTTATTTTTTTAAGACACTTTTTTGTTAATGTCTTTTTTGTTGTATCTTTTCTTTTCTTTTTAAAAATATTATGGTGTTTTATATTTTAATCTTTTTGAATAAATTAAAAACTTTGAAAAAGTGTTTTTCTTCTGAGTAAATATTTATTAGTTCAGAAATAATAAACATAGTCAGGATGCAGCCACTTCAGTCTTTCACGCCCAAACATGTTCTTTGCTAAAATACAGCAATTTGAAATCATCTTATTCAGTGAATGCTGGAAGAGAACATTTACTGTTTGTATGTACAAGTGAATTTTCAAAATGACTGGCTGTTTACTTCACATTTGTATTGTATTGAAATACTACGAGTTCATGAAACCTGTATCTTTTAAACACACACTGATTTTCCATGAGACTGGTATATTCTGCTGCTACTCCCTCTTCCAATGCAGATTTTTTTCCCCCAAGAGATTTTATGCTGTCCCAACTGTAATTAGTTTTTGGAGATCATAATACAGTAGACATTTATTATTATATTCAAGTGGGAGAAGAATCACTCTCTAAAAGTTGCTGAGTGACAACTCCCAGCAACCTGAACCATCATGGGCACAGATAAGCCATCCTGGCAGCCGGCACTCAGCAATACCCAGAGGTCAGCAACTTCCCTATATTTGTAGGAGAAACAACACATATATTTATTTTTATTCACGTATTCAATTTTTATAGCCGGTGAACTCAACCAAGTTACCCTCCTATTTATAGACTCTGGATTTTCCACATGAGGAGAATATTCCAGAGTTATAATTTTTTTTCCTATATAGTTGCAATGAGGACATCTTGTCTTTTCTGAATTCTTTTGGCAAGAGACAAGGTATTTAAAATATTGTCATATAACAGATATATAATATTGATCCAGATTATTGGATTTTAATTCTGTTAACTTTCATAGCCAGCCTTTGTTTATGTTTATTTATTTAATTTATATGCCACCTATCTCACTATCAAGTGACTCTGGGTGGCATTTAGCTTAATTTAATTTAATTTAATTAATGTTGGTTTAATGGCTATGGGAACTGAAATGCAATACATTTGGAGACCACCAGAGAATGTGAAAGGCTTACTTTAGTCCTTCATTTAGACCCATGATGGTGCAGTGGTGGTGCATTCTTAGCATGCAGTATTGGCGGCTGGCGGCTCACTGCTAGGAGTTTAATCCTAACAAGAGTCAAGGTTGACTCAGCCTTCCATCCTTCTGACATTGGTAAAATGAGGAGCCAGATTGCTGGGGGCAATACACGGACTCTGTAAACTGCTTAGAGAGGGCTATAAAACACTATGAAGCAATATACAAGTCTAAGTGCTATTGCTATTGCTATTCATTTCATTTATTTATTTGGAAAATTTATATTGCTATATAAATTTGAATCACAGATGACTCAAGGTGACTTACAGGAAATAAAAACACAATATAAAAGAAATAAAAATAATAAATAATAAAAATAATAAAATGATCTGTCATCCCTCTATCCCGGTGACAACACACACTCATACCAGCCATTTAATAGGCTTTCTCTCACTAGGTTCCCCAGGCCCACTGGGAGAACCACATTTTCAAGGCCTTCTGAAAGTGTTTCAGGATGGGGGCCAGTCTAATTTCTGGAGGGATGAAGTTCCAGAGGGAGGGAGCACCATGGAGAAGGCCCTTCTTCTGGGTCCTGCCATATGTATCTCCATAGGGGATGGGACCCACAACATTCCTTGCATCGTCACTCTAGTGGGTCAGGTGGATGTGACTGGCAAGAGATAGACCATCAGATAACCTGGTCCCAAACCATTAAGGGCTTTAAAGGTGACAACCAGCATCTTGAATTGCACCTGGAAGCAAATTGGCAATCAATGCAGCTTCCGCAGGAGGTGCCACATGCACACACCAAGGTCTGCATTTACAGGTACAGTGAAGACCTGAAGTTAATCCTCAGGCAAATAAAACATGAGAATAAGGATAATACTTTTGTGATTATTTTATCAAAATAGTATTTTAATTTAAAGCATGAATTTTTCAGTGCACAGACTCTTAATGATCAGTTCAGATGAATATATTGGAAACCATAATAGTTTGTTAAATCCTTGCAGAAACTGAGTACACTATAAAAAGACATCAGGCTGCTGACTTCAGATGACTGGAAAAGGACCACAAATTGTTAGTAATTTCCATATTACAGGGGAGGGAGAGATACTAGTGCTTAAATATATACATACAATTTAGTACTTAAGTATTAAATATATTTTAAACAATTTTGATACATTGATATGCATACAAAATGCTGACAATTAGCATCACCTTTATTAATATAAGCAATAATAAATGTTTGCAAAATCAATAAACTGATATTCTGAAATTTTGTGAGGCGCTGTGTATTGTGAAAGTTTATTCCTAAATCCAGCACTGCCTTCAGGACTAAGCTATCCTCACTGTCTGTTGTGTCCTGCATTTTGAGGAGGGGTAGGTGTCTGATTGAAGATTCTTTTTCTAAATGTGGTATTTTATCAAGCAGAAATTTGCCAGGCACGACTCTTCCCTGCGGGGAGTATCGGTATGCTCCATCTGTTGTATTTCTATCTGTTAAACAGTTCTTACAGAAGATTGTCCGAATCAAACCGCACTTCTGGGTAATGCTCACTGGGAATTGTACCATAGTCCAATAGAAGACGAAGGCACTGGACTGTGAAAGGCTGTTTTACTTATTCATCCTTGAAATAATTTTGGTCATAATTTCGTCTCTCAGGCTGCTTGAATCAGCTGTGAATATTGTTGACACGGAACAGAAAACCTGAAAGGGCTCATCGAATCACGGCTGGTTGAATTTAAAATTAGTCGACGCGGCTGGACTTCTTTTTGAGACTTAAATTAACCCCGGGCGAGTTAATTAAGCTACCTCTCACGTCCCGTGTGGACGAGTCCGATTCCTTCCCAGGGTCAGAGCGCGAGAGCGCGAACGATCCGAAACAAGCTACCTCACCATGACCAAGGCGGATCTTCGGAAATTCCTAGGAGGGAGAAAAGCAGCAAAACCCCGCCTCTTTACGAGGCGGGCTTCGGCAGGCTTTATGTAGTCTTGCAGGAGCGCCAGAGCTCAGAACTGCGGACCAGAGGGCGCTTTTCCTTGAGCGGCGAAGGGAGGTGAGCGTTGCGTCTAACCTACATCCCCCCCCCGTCCTGTTTGCAGGGAAGGTGCTGGGCTATGGCATCAGTGCTGTATGGGCGTGTGGTTCGGATGCGTTTATGAATATAAGGTCCCGTTTTATAGGGATATCAGATATCAGAGTTCTATTTATCTCCCTACCTGGACTGGACTGGGGGGGGGGGGGCTGTTTAGACAATTCCAGACGCGCGCAGGTACTGTCAGGTTGGGTTTTTTTGGAGGGGGGTGTTTCGGGCTGGGATTATGTTCGTATCTTTTGATATTTGCTATCCCGCCCCCCCTTTTTTGGGGGGGGGGATTAAGAGACTCTCGATGGAGCATCACGGCCTCTTACGATGGGCTAGTTATCCAACCCACCGTATGTAGTCTGTGAGTATGAAATGGAAGGTTGTCTGGCGAGGGAAGGAATCTTCCGATGGACCTGAACCGAGCAGCCGTAGTGATTCTCTGCCTTCCCCGCCCTCTTGATCCCGGTTTTAGCAGATTCTGCATTCCCTTAGAGACGACCTCGTCCTTCCCCTGTTCTTTCCACCTCCTCTCGCTGCTCATTAGGTGGATGATGGGGTTGTTTTTCGCGCTTTTCCTCCTAGCTCCCAGGAGGAGATAATGGCCAAATGAGATTAGACTCGTTTTTGGAAGGGAGAGCGTCGGCCGAACCACTTCTTACCCAAGTGAGTGAACTTTGAATTGTGGTCGATTTGCCCTCCTAATTCCCGAAAGGCGGAGGACAGAAACGGGCTGCGATGTTCTTGCCTTTGAGTACAATTTACTCGCTCGCTCGCTCTCTCTCTTTTTTTTATCACCAAAATTAAACGTCGCAGCAAAAGGAGAAGTAGCAGGTTTGGGCTGATAATCGGAGAGACGTTCTTGCGGGGAAAAAAGAAAAAGAAAACAGGGCAGGAATACTTCTGTCAGCAAGAGTTTTGTTTCCCGGAGGCGAAACTGATTTGTGCGCTCTTCCTAGAACCGGGTGCGTGCGTGTCTAATAGGGTAGTGGTGATGCCCACGGCCAAAGCCGAGTCCTGTATAAGAGGAACTAAAGGAACCTTCTCCCGCCTCACCAAAAGGGGTGCTCTTGGGTCAGCAGCTGCGCTTCAGTTTTGCCTAGGAAAGGAGTCTGTCAGGGCATGCCCTGGCGTGGAGGCGGCGGCGGCGGCGACTGCCGCTTGCGAGAGGGTGGGGAAGTCAGGCGGCGGCCGGGAGTGATTCAGTGACAGTCACTCTCTGGGGCTGATGTAACAGAATAGGCCCGGCCCTGCCAGTTTGGGGACGTTTAGAAACGCCTTCGTTTTGATTAGGGAGACAGGCCACCTTCCTGGCGAAAGCGACGTCTTTCGGGAGTCCTTCCCTAAGGTCTCCTCTGCTCCTGTGAGCAGAAATAGCCCGTGTCACTGGGAGGGGTGGGCCGTTTAGACGCACGAGTTCTTCCGACTCTCCGCCCAGCCCCGCCGATGTTCTTGTCTCAGTTGGGAACTCCTTGTTCCCAAACGGAGTTTTATTTTTGTTCTTGCTCTGTTTAGAGAATCGGCCCGGCTTTTTTTTTTTTAAGAGTCGCGCGCAAACTCGGGCACGCGCTGGAGGCGGCGGCAGGAAAGCGGCTAGACGGAGGCTGGTTTTGTTTACTGGTCCGGATTACGAATTCGTGCCAGCAGCTGTGATATTCTCGTCTTTTCCCCGCCCCCCCTCCCCACTACTAAGGTTGAGGGGGAGAGATAGGGAGTCAGGTAGAGACCATAAAGCTGCTTTAGGAAGAAACGCCTAGACCAGCTTCTTTCTTTCTTTCTTTCTTTCTTTCTTTCTTTCTTTCTTTCTTTCTTTCTTTCTTTTATGGAGACTGAGCCTAAAATCCCCAAAAATGCCACTCCGCGTTGCGTGGGTTGCGCCTGGCGTTTTCTCGCCCCTTTGCTCCTGTTAACCAAGGCGGTTGGGTAGGGTGAACGCACCTCAAAAGAACTTGCAACCGTAAGCCCCAAAGCGAAGGGGGGGGGGGGCGATATGTGTGGGAAGGAAGGAAAAAAGAGGCGGAGCCGTAGTAAATTCGGCGCACGTTTCCCATTTCCTGGCAGCAAATCCTGTCGGTCTGTGTGGCAAGTGCGATTTCGCAACTTCCAACCCGGCACGTGACGCGGCTGCTGTGGTACCAGATGACGTAATCCCCTCCCACACACACCCACGGGACGAGCTTCGGGAGCGTCTCGCACATCTCCTCGGCTCCTCCCGTGGTTGATAAGGAAGTCCCCCCCGGTTGCTTTCCTCCGGGGTCGAGTGGAAGGGTCTGCTTTTAAGAGAGAGAGAAAAACGTCCGACAAGACGGGAGGTTTCCAGCGTTGAAATAAAGCGGGCAATCGCGCGGCCAAAACTTTTTGTGTTTTTTTTGCAGCCGCGAGACGGGTTGCTGAACTGCTGGAAGGGCGGCGGCGGCGAGGGGGAGGGCGGGCGGGCGGCCGAGAGAAGGAGGATAGCTACTGTTTCAACAATGGTGACCTAAATTTTGATTGGCTGCCTCTGGCCGAGAACGACCACGGTAAATTCAAGTTCGCAGGGTAAACGGAGGCTAAATGTGTGCTGCGATTGAGAGGGCTACGTCTTCTGTTATTTCCTTCCACCAGTAGGCGTTATTATCTACAAAGATCCGTCTCCCCTGATACAGAAGTGGCAAGTGGATAGGTTACAGCAGCCAAAGTTGAGGAGTTGTAGTCCGACATTTCTGGAAAGCCTTGGTGACGAGTCCAGAGCAATCAGTTTCCATAGGTATGGAGCGAAGTTGGACTACTAGCCAAGCGAAACATTAGTTTTGGCAGCTGTGTGACAGGCAGCAAGGCTGGATCCACGCTGTAGGTTGTAATGCGGTTTCCTGCTTTGTGGTTTAGCATGTTATGTGAATTCCACCATTATGGTTTGTAACCAGGGTTAGTGGCTTGAGGTAGGGTGGGAACCAAATCATGGATAGTGGAACCACTGCTGAAAATCCTTAGTGAATGACAACGTGTGAACAAATCCAAAGAACAATGGCATAATATACTTAGTTATTGCTTCCTGAATCAGTAAATAGATGGGTTCAAGGCACACACTACACCAGTGGTTCCAAAGAGGGCGGAACTGCCCCCTGGGGGGCAGTGGATGACTTAGGAGGGTGCTAAGAGGCCAGGGGGGTGGCAGAGGAGTTCTGGAGGTGGGCCCCACGCAGGGCGCAATTCAGGGGTGGGATTCTACCAGTTCGCAAGAACAAGTTGTTACCGTTCCAGGTAGTTCGGAGAACCAGTAAAATGGGCCCCTGGCTGGCCCCACCCCTCTCTGCCCGCTCCTCCATTACGTGCCCAGTCAGTCCTTATTGTGCAACAATTAATGATGGCATTCACCCCTGCCCGCCCCGCCCTTATATAGCGCATGCGCGCTCACTTCCCACATTTCCCGCCCGCCGCCATCACTTCTAGCAGCAGCCAGCCAATCAGCCAGCATCACTGCATGCCTTCCACCATCGGATCTCCCTAGGAGAGTGAGGCTCTGCAAGCCCCGGTCGCCTACATGCTGCTGCTGCTGCCAGCCCCAGTTGAGTCCCGACTCCCGGGCTGGCCGAGGCCGCCACCACCATGCTGCTGCCACCCTCAGCGTTCAAGCTTTCCCCCCACTCCACTTGCCTGGCTTGCTGGTGGCTGAGAGGAAGGGCTGACCCGTTGCCCTTTGAGTCCTGCCTGGGTTCTCCGCAGCTGCTGGGTCTTGCCTGCTAGGGGCAGGGGAAGTGACCAGGGAGCATGATGCTATGCCTCCCGCATCGACCCTTGCCTACTGCCCCTTCCCTCTGCCACCCGCCAGCCTGTGCGCTTTGGCTGAATGCAGGCCACCGTTGTGAGAATGATGTGAGTCAAGCCTCACGAGGGCAGATATTCCACCCATGGAGTTTGCATAGTGGCGGTCTGCACTTGACTAAAATGCTTGGGGGGCAGCTGGCAGAGGGGTGATGCAGGTGGTGTAAGCCTTGTGCTTCCTGGTTGCCTCCCGCATTCCCCCTCAGTAGCTGCGACCCGCAAGCCCCAGCAGCTGATGAGATGCAGGCTGGCGGGAAGCCAAATAGTGATGGGTCTGCCCTGACTGACTCACTTTTTCCTCTGCCACCAGCCACTGAAGTTTGGGCTACCTACAAACTTATCTTCTTCCCACAGCTGATGGCAGAGGGAAAGGTGAGCCAGTCAGGGTGGGCTGGCTCACCTTTCCTGCAACTCACTTCTCCCACAGCTCCTGCTTGCAGTTTCCAGCCCTTTCCCCAAAAGAGGGAGGGGTGGAAGTCCTGCCCGTGGTCTCTTTGTTGGACCTAGAAACCTTGCCTGCTGGCTTTTCCAGGCAACGCGGGACTGGGTGTGAACGGACAATTGTTCTTGGTCCCTGGGACTCACAAGCAATGCTGCCAGGTGACTACCTTGTTGGAAGTGTGTGTGTATGTGTGTGTGTGTGTTTCAGGTGGCTCTCCTAGCTTAGGAGGAGAGCAAAGGAGCAAGGGAAGGGATAGAGAGAGGGAAAGAGAAAGAAAGAGAGAGAAAAAGAGGGAGGGAAGGAGGAAAAAGTGAATGGGATATATGGAGGGGGGGAGAGAGAGAAAGAAAGAGAGGGAAAGAGAGAGAGGAAGAGACAAGAAGGAAAAAAAGAAAAGGGAACAAAAAGAAAAAGGAGAGAGAAAGGAAGAGAAAGGAAGAAAGGGGATAAACAAAGAGGGGATGGAAGGAAGGGACAGAAAAAGAAAGAAAGAAAGAAAGAAAGAAAGAAAGA